GCCACTTAGACCCAAAGTGCCAAACGGTCACTTCCAAGATCCATCATGCATAAGTGACCTCGTTTCATGAATCCTTAAGTGACCTCTTTGCCTGGCTGATCTCATGATTTCTGCGTGTCACTGCGTGTCACTTGCGTGTCACTGGGGTTTCGAGGTGGGATGAAACGAGGTCACTTAGGACCCTGAAAAGGTCACTTAAGCCTTGAAAAGGTCACTTAAGGATTGGCTGTCTGCGTGTCACCTGCGTGTCACTTGCGTGTCACTGGTAGGCCACTGTTTGGTTCGTTTCCTTAAGTGACCCCTTTCTACGTTTTCCTTAACTGACCTCTTTCTAAAGGCCACTTAGCAGAAAACACAAACAAGGTCACAAGGAATCGTCTGGTAGGAATCGTCTGGTATATAATATATATATATATATATATAGACAGGCACACAGATTGACTCACAGATAAATAGATAGACAGACAGACCGACGGACAGACAGACAGACAGCCAGATAGATAGATAGATAGATACATAGATACATAGATACATATTAGATACATAGATACATAGATACATAGATGCATAGATGCATAGATGCATAGACAGATATATATATATATTATAGAGAGAGAGAGAGAAACCAACGACCATCAGTGCTCAACTGTTTTGAAACTAGCTTGTGAACATGTTGAATCGTTATTCAGCCTCAGCATCAACTATGACAATTGGTTTGGTGTGTGTGAAAGCAAACTGCAAGCAATGAATGATATTACAATTCCAATCAACTGGTCTCTAACCAAGAGTGAGGTTCACTGTTCCCCTCATTTACCAACTGAGTACCATCACCTATGAACCAATACAAACTGGACATATTTAAAAAAAAAAACAAGACACATTTAATATATTATATACTATCCCCATCATATCCTATCAAATGATACGTGTATTTTAAAGATCCCATTATCCCATCATACACTCATCAACCCACTATCTTCATGTCGTTAATTAATGTTAATTACATGTTTTTTGGCGTCTGGACCCAGCAAAATTCGCCGCCCTCAGTTGGTGCCATCCATCGACCCATGCAGGACAGCACCTGGCTCACTGAATACAGCGGTTACATTCGCGAGAAGGATGAACGAATCCCGCACCTTTGGCGCATGCGGCGCATGAACGAAAATAATTGTGGATGCTTGCGAAATCCTGCACCAAAAGGATGGTGGAAACCCTATCTGGTTGGTGGTTTCAAACATTTTTTCTTTTCCATAATATATGGGATAATCTTTCCCATTGACTAATATGTTTCAAGATGGTTAAACCCACCAACCAACTATAAATAATGGGATAAACCATCTTTCAAGCGGTGCAGGATTTCGCTGGCCCATCCACAGTTGGAATCATCACTGAAAGAGGCAAATCATCGAACTCTTGGTGGCTATGCCAAATAAAAAACGCGAGGGTAGATAGAATAAATGAGCAGCTTAAAGGTTGTCTATTGATGCAATTGGAGGAACATGCTAACCAGCCAAAACAACTAAAGATCTGGGTATTTGGACAGATTTTAGCCATCTATATGTTGTTTATTATTGGCTATGCCATATATGTTCGAACTGTTGGTTGGTGTGTCGAATGAATGGTGTTCACCACACTTAAAAAATCAAACATGTATACATATATATATATCATTATATATATATATTAATTATTATTAGTATTATTATTATCATTATTATTATAATTATTATTATTATATATATAGTGAGGTTGATCATGATTCAAGGTTGGGTATATTTCCACCTTTTGGATCTTTTTGGGTCAAACATTCCAATGCTATTTAGGTTGGTTGTGCCTGCCATGGCTGCCAATGAGTCTTGCCAGTGTTGATCCATGGAAAAGATTTGTTTGGTTCTGGGGACCAAATGCAGTATCCCGCTTGCTTGGATGGTAAACACCTTTGGTTTTTCTTTATTATGCGTTGAATCAATCCAATGATAGGTGTTTAAATCTCAACTTATGTGTTTAAAAGGTCAACGAAGAATGGAACATCAAACGAATAATGAAGGAAAGAACGGCGATCTACATCTACAGTGATCTAGTTGATTGGGTCATGTGTTTCTTTGAACATTCCATTGTTTCGCACATCATCCTGTGCGATTTGTGGCCATATTTTGAAAGCATCCAACCTTTTGAACCCATATCCAACTGGAAGTTTCCATGACACCCCATATATCTCCATGTAGTTAGTTGTGAAAATTCCATGTTGTTCCCATAGATTTCCCATAGATTGTCCCATATTCAACCATAGATTTCCACTGAGAATTGCGACCTTGCGACCATCCTTCGGGCGCCGAGGATTTGGATGTGCTCCGATACCCTCTCCTGCCCGTCCTTCGGGCCTTCAGCGCGGATTTCTGGCTTCGGAGTCAGAAAACTCCACAGATGGAATTTGGTAAAATCCCACTGGAAATAAGTGATCAATTCCTGTTCTAGATCCTCTGGTTGGTGGTTTCAAACATTTGTTATTTTCCATATTATATGGGATAATCCTTCCCATTGACTAATATTTTTCAAGATTGTTAAAACCACCCACCAGTCCTGTTTGGGGCATTAGTGCAAAACATTCTAAAGCTGCTTGCCAGAAATGGGAGCACTTACTCTAAGCAGCTAGTTTTTTTTGGCTGGCTAAGATTGGCCATGATGTTGGCGAGGACTTGTTGGAGTGCATGAAATCTTGGTAGCCCCGATTTCAAAGGATGATCCTCATTTTCCCATTAAAATGGGGCTTTTTTGCTACGGATATTCATGGGATTTCATGGGTATCCTATGGTATCCTCTATTTTAAGACAAACCCCGACTTCCAAAGACCCCAAAGACCTAGACTTCAGAGCTCCGGATGGAAGGTGAGGCTAGGGAATGATCACCTCACTGGACGACCCGTTATTCATGACGGATATTGGTTAGATCTTAAGGATTGAAGGATTTGTGTTTGTTTCTAGTTTCAGAATTTCAACGGAATACATGTTGTTTTTTCCCCGGAAGGTATGTGTTGTTTTTTTTGGATTGATGTTGGATAGAACATGTAGTGATTTTTGTTCAGCAGCAATGGTATCTGAGACCCCATGGTCAGCCATGGTCCAGTCGGTAAATCATGGAAGCCGCGGAAGAATTTTGTCCTTTTGCATCCTTCAAAAGGCACATCATCAACGCAATGATGCAATGATGTAGGCTTCATGTCGGCCTGTTTGTTGCTTGGAAACTTATATTATACATAACCATGGCTTCTGGTTCCGTGAGAGTTGGTATATATAAATCATAAGTCATAACCCCAACCAAGATTCCAGCTTTACGGGTGAACAAACCAGCTGAATTTTAATTAAGTCCATTTAGCTTCCCAGCTTCCCAGATGTTTGAGGCTCAAACCCCGTTATCAATGTAAATCTTAGTTCAATCCCATTCAAGCAAAATGTATCACCATCATATTGTATATATAGTCAAAGCACACATATATCATCATATATCACCATTTTACTAAACATGTATAACCAACAAAAAATATATATAGATATATAGATATCACCAATGTATCACTTCAATACATCACCAATATATCACCACTATTTGTATATTGTGATCACCGGTCCAAGGTTTCGCTGCCGAGACGACCTGGCAGGCAACTGCACCTACACCAGTCACTGGCCGATTTAGGACGGCGTTCAGAAATGGGAGCTTTCTGTGGAATTTTGGGATGATCCCGATTTTTTTTAAATATTTTTGGGGGAGATTTGTTTGATTTTACCCTCTGGTAAACTAACATAACCATGGAAAATCACCATTTTTAATGGGAAAATCCACTATAAATGGCAATTTTCAATAGCTATGTTAGTTTACCAGAGGGTAAATGGGATTGAATTGGATATATATAACCAATGATATGTGGTTAAAAGTGTCTGAAAATTGGGTATATTAATCTGAATTGGTTATTTGAAAGTGGAGAACATTATGATTAATCCATATGAATCAATGGATTTAGGGGTAGCCTATTTTCAGACAATCCCATATCTTTGTTGATTGATTCTTGGGATGAAACCTAGGATTAACATTGATAAACAACGGATTGATTTATGGACAACTATGATTTTATATCTCCTTAAGCCCCAATTGTTGGGGGGGTTCTTTAACATGTTCAATAAAAACACCAATTCCGGGTTTGTCTTGCCTTGCTGACTTAGTGGGTATAGAATGTGTATTAAATGGATTTAACTGGAATATATACGTGTGCGACAATTGTATAATATATAGTGCTATATGTCTCACCAACAAAACAATATCATGTTTGTCTGGAAATGGGGTACAACGTCAAAATTGCCATTTGAATTGAGGAAAATGTTGGGGAAAACCATAAGCTTGGCCACGTGAAAGCTGTAGGCATGGATGGAATGTGTTTGAATAGCGCTTTTTGGGGCAGTGTTTCTCCTTAGGCTGCAGTATCCAAGATTGGAGAACAACCTTGTCAACCTAGATCACTGGGCATAGCGGTTTGGGCCCTGCGTTGAAGACATGGCTTAAGACATGATGAGGGCTTTGTGACAACTGCATTTTCAGCCATTTTTTTTTTTGTAGTTGATCCGATGATCATCCCACATTAATTGCAAGTGGATCATAATAGTTGTCAGAACCCACTTTTGGAATTCATTATATTTCCAGCAATTGGTGACTTGAGATGGGCGTGAATGATAACCATTTACGATTCCTGGAATCATTATCCATGGATATGGTTCTCTTTCATCCTAAAGCTTTTCGGCTGAAAGATGCTGAGCCATATTACTCATTGCTTGAACACAGCAACACGCACCCATTGTTTCTGATTTGTTTTGCGGATGAACTTGTTTTTGTGGCTAGTTACATCCAAATGTTTGGTGCTTCAGTCATTCAATCCCCCTTTGGTCTAATACAACGCAACATGTCTGCTTAAATTGTAACGACCTCACTTTTCTTCCTCACTGGCATGATGGTGAATAAGGGTAAGTATCATTAACTATCCCAAAAAGGTCTATTTCAGATCAGTGAAATATTACGATTTACCATGATTTACCCAGAACATGTGGTCCTGAAAAGTACCAACCCCCGGGCTTCGCGTTGAAAACGAGGTCAGCCGGTGTACCTGGGATGTTTCTGTCAGCACCTTGGCGCAGACAGGGTCCAAGGCAGTTGTAAACATATCCTGGTGGAATATATATATATATATAATATGATATGATATTATATATGCACATAATACTCCATTACACCATATATTCCAAACCAGTAGAATGCAATGTGATAGAATATATATGACTATATATATATAATTACGATATATGTGATTATATGTGTATAAACACATGTGCGATATTTATGCATATATGTATGTATGTATATATATATTATATATATATATATAAATATCATGGGACTTAGTATCCTACTTCGCCGTTAGCCTCCTTGTCAAGAAATTTACCCAGGGGCGGGGCGTCGATCGCCAAACCACGATAGTCCACTGAAATCAAAACGGATCCCATTGGGTGGACCTTGGGGAAAACAGCCATGGTTTTTCGATGGCCCATAGATTTATAGATGGTTTACCGTTTACTTTAAAAACATGGCGATTTTCCATGGCGAACTGTGAATGTCATAACCAGATGGTTTATACAACCATCCTTTTTCAAACTTAGAATTTGGTTCATAATTCGGATCTGGAGCCCTCCGATTCTGATCATCCCTGATACCCTCTGGTAAACTAACATAGCTATTGAAAATTGCCATTTATAGTGAGTTTTCCCATTAAAAATGGTGATTTTCCATAGTTATGTTAGTTTACCAGAGGGTACTAGTCTTGTGTCAGACTTTGCCCCAGTATCAAGTATAGAATCATATAGAATTACATTGAGGCATAGATGCTTAGAGTCTATGTACATGTACGCTTTATATCAAGATATGCTACTGCATAAATTGCAAAATATGAATTATATATAAATATATAATATAATAATATATAATACATATATATATATTATACATGCATATATATATATATATATATTGTACATGCATATATATATATATATACTTGGTATTTTCATTCATGATTTCAGAAACTGTAGGCATCTCAATTTTTATGATAATGTGGCTCTCAGAAGATGGTGTTTCGTGTTCTCTCATCTTCCCTCACAATTGGATGCGTCAGAGAAACTCAGCATTTCTACGTCCCGAAGCAAAATCATAGATGCGGTACCCGATTGTGAAACCAATTCGATGTTTCCAGGATTTCACATTAGTACTGTTGATTCAGAACATCGGAATTCATTCCGATTGTCAAGTCCAAATTTTCCTCCCATAAAATCAGCGATTTTGTGAAATGCGGTATATTTTTTGTTGATCAAAATTTCTTGTTTCTGAGTGACCCACCCCCAGGACACCCCATTGCCAGCTCATTAACTTGGTTTCGCAAGGTATTCCACTGCGGGAATCCCTGTTGTGCAGCTTGGCGGCAACCCATGATTTTTTGCGACTGACCCGGGCTCCATGTTGAAGTTCGGTCAAGGATTCCAGGGTAATCCTTGGATGAGTCATGGTTTAACAAACAATAACAATTGTTTTGTACTTATCAAAACTTGAGGTGGAACATGTTGTAACCCGGGAATTGCGGCTACAGTGATTGGTGATGGATATATTCTTCAATCCGTTATTGATTTTGCCAGTTTGATGGGAACATGCATGCCTGTCCAGTCAAGTCTGTATTTTCCCCTTTACCCTCCGGCAGTTTAAATAAATCTATGGAGCATGGTCCATTTACAGCTGAACTTTCTAGATTTTCCTACCAAATATGGGTCGATCCCTTGATGGCAGATGGTTTTTTACAGCGTAGAAACGATCAGCCAACGGTTCACGGTTTTAAAGCACCATTAACACCATTATATAATTGTTCGGTACATATCATCACGGTGGTCAACCCTTCATATTTTTTGTTCGTGAAACTGCTGTTTGCCGAGGAGTCCCATGTGGCTTAATCACAAAATGGGTACATCCCAACTCACGGCAGTGTCAATAGGGAGAACGATGTTTAAATCCTTGGGACGTTGTTCTTTTTTTTCCGCAGGGCGGGGTCAGGCGTACCGTGTTTGATACGTCATCCTATCTTGACTTGTGGTTTCAAATTGAGAGCATTCTGACGTGTCACCATGCAACATGAATATCCATGATTCTTTGGAAACCACCAGCCGCTTCAAATATTTCTTTCAAGCTTCATGACCCCGTGTACCATGGTGAAAATAGGTCATGCTTCCATGGGCAATGTGAATGGCCCATAGTGGCCCAAGGATTTCCAATGTCACGGTGGGGGATGGCTTCATAACCCATTCATCCCACGTAGCTTGACCATGCAACTGGTGTACCAACCAACATCGAACCGTCCTTCCCAAAAGTTTGGTGAAGCCCACAACTTTGATACCATGAAGAACCGCTTGTGTCTTGGGAAAACCACACCATACAATCCCAACATTATAACATTTAACTTGACCATGGCACAATATCAGATAATTGGCAGGTTGGTGGTTTCAACATACTTCAAGTATGTTACGTGCTCAACTATAAAAATGGGACGATGACCCAAATTCACAATATATTTGCCAGGTGGGATGGCTCCGCCTAGAATGGGATGATACAGACCCGAGGTCGGATCGCTTCGTGGTCTTTGGGAATTGCTTGATCTCTGCCTGCATCATTGCTTTGCTCACCAACTCGCGGATGCGAACCCGGGGCTTGTGGCTTGATGAGAAGAGGGGCAACAGATCAACTGTAAACCCTGGTTTGATATTAGGTTAACCATGGTTTATTGTGATTGCAAACGGGGCTGTCCTTAGATGATGTTAAGAATGACCATACATATATCCACTCAGAAGGCTGATTTCATGGGATTTTGCCATGTTCAGAAAGCTGCCCCAATGCCATGCCTTGAGGTTTCGCTTTCCGGATCTCTCCCTCTTTGCGCTTGGCTGCGTCACCTTTCTACCAACAGTCACCTGGTGCGCACTGGAGGGATCATAAAGGGTCTATGCATGTCTATGCTAATCATCCCGGTTCTATATTGGATTATACACAATGATAAACTCCGACAAGTTGAGATAAATAATTGATACACATGATCATTAGATAAGGAATGGTTGATGAAATTGTGGATCCCACATGAAGCAATTAACTAATCGATGGAAAAAAATATCAGCCAAGTCCAAAGCGGATAAGCCCAGGGAACTGCTTAAGCTGCTGGCGGTGACTTCCACAGAAGGTGATTTGTTGAGAGGCTTGGGAGGTTCAGATAGCTTCGAAGGTGTGACTGGAAGTCTCGGGTAGCATCACATACCAAAATTTTGGAATTCCACAATCATTTCCAATGCATATTTTCCAGATGGGACTCAGTCGTGGGAGACTTTGAAGATCTGGTGGAAGCCTCATATTACTGGTAAATGTTGCACTTTCACATACTTTCACTATGAAGAGTAGAAGTTGTTGAGCTCTGAAATGAGGTTCCCTAGCTTTGATTTCAGCAGGATATCGACTCCCTCTGAAAGCATCATCTCTTGAGATGACTCTTTGATGCTAAGGCATTCATTGCCATCAACACGGTGTCTTGGGCAAAGTATTGCACAATCTGCTGTAATTTCCTGGGAAATCGTTCTACAAGCCTGAGACTTAGAACCCATAGATGTGCTGGTAAAAACTCATGGGATCAAATGGGGTGCCATATTTGATCAACTCGGTATTTTTTCCAACTATCCACCATGGACTGTGACATGAATAATCTCCAATATGATCCAGCACATCAAGATCCCAGGATGTTTTGGGATCTTGAATAATTGTATGATCATCCAGATCCTAAGCGGTTCAGCAAACCTGGTGATCCCCCAAGTACGTTACATCAAGCCCGATCGGAATCCAATATTGATCATGGATATTTATATAGTCCATACAATAGCATCATTTCTCGATGTTGAAGCTTTGGGAATCTGCAAATAAGCCATGTTCAAACACAGCATGGTGTTGGTTTTCTATATCCCGTTCATATTCCATTCATATTCCATTCATATTATCCACATATCATATCCCATATATATATATAATATTATATATTATTAATGATATATTATACTTGGGCAAATTATAGTGACTTCACTGTGACCTCACTGGAATCATGGTGAATGGATTCGGGGAATCATCCCGAATATTAGCCTTGTTTCAGGCTAGTGAAATACGAATGAACTACTGTAGAATTTACCCAGATGATACCCATTTGTAGGGCTATCCCATTTGCAAATGGGTGTAACCCAGTTACTAGCCAGCTTAGTGAAATACTGGAATTTACACCATTTGCCCATATAGAATATAGTGCCCATTCACTCTTCAAAATTATATATTGTATCCATGGGTATCCCTTTGAAACTTATATATATATATTATATATACTATATGCCCATATATATATATCCATATATATATATATATACACATATATATTATGTATCTGGGTAAATTATAACGACCTCACTGCGACCTCACTATAATCATAGTTAGTAAGGGGAACCATCCCCAAATGGCCTTAATTCAGGTTAGTGAATTATTGTAATTTGCCCAGATCTTTCCATATATATATATGTATCCATATATATATATATACAAATCCATATACATATATATATATGTTTCCATATATACATATATATATATAAATATATATATATATATGTGTTTCCATTTATATATATATATATATATATTTACATATATATATATATTTATATCCATCTATGTATTAATATATAAATATATATTATTATATATACATTTATTATATATATACGTGTATTATTAAACATAAATTGTTTTAAATAATTTATATATATATAATTGTTGATGCCACAACACCTGTCTTACTCCTCTTGTATCATTTTCCCATTTGTTATGGCCAGCCGCTGCACATAGCCATCCAGACTCAAGGGAGTCAAGGACTTCATAGGAGACCTTCGATGCGATGCCGACGCGGTGAAAACGCATTGGAGTGCTTCTCAGGCTCCTCGGGAGGAGAAGTTGTAGGAGGCGTGGAAGCCTCATTCCTGGTTCGCTATCAATATTGGTAGCAGAGCCGGACTCCGATCGACGTGTGAGAGAAGCCTCAGAGCTCAGGAGGGCTCACGAGCACAACACCTGTCTATGTCCTCGCAGTATTCCTCGACGTCTGGACCTACTGCGGAACTGAGTGGAGGTTTGCGCTACTTTAGCGGTGCGAATGAAGATGGAAAAGACTACAAACGATGGAAACTGTGGGTTGGCAACAAGCTCTTGACGTTGGATAAACTTCCAGCGGAGGCCAACGGAAGCTTTTGTCTTCACCTTGTTGACTAGCAAGGCACTGGAGGCGGTGGAACATCTAGATCTTTCAGTGTATCAGTGTGCTGATGGAGAGCGAGCAATCTTCAAGATTCTGGACAAACGCTTTCCTGAAAAGGATTCCAGCGATGAGTTAGCAGAGGTGTTGAACGACATTTTCAGCATGAGAGTGAAAGATTGTGAAAGCTTGGGACAGTGTGTATCTAGAGCAACTGAGATGTTTGAAAAGTGTGAACGGAAATCAGGCCGCAAGTTTCCTGAAGAAGCAGGTGGATATATGGATTTGAAGTGGTCAGATTAACTAACCATTTGGTGGTCATCTTGAATCATCCCATCTCTAGGGGTATACCGGATAGTAGACCCCATTGTGGACTGGGGATGGTTCATTATAGGCTTTACCTCATATCATTACGATGACGAACTCCAGCCATTTTTGTGCCCATCAATTGGTCTGCGACAAGTGGGAGCTGCTCCATAGGAGCTGTCGCAAGATTCCCAGGATTGGGACGAGTGAAATCTGGCTGGTTGGCCTGGAGACATGAAGAACATCTTGCTTTTTTACAAGCAAGTTATGAAAATTGCAGAGCAATGATGAAGATCTTGGAAATTCATGAAATTTGGGGAAAAACTTGGGGGTTTGCAATAGTTGTTCATTTCTTGCATTTGGGCAGCCTCTGAAAACTGCTAGATTGGAAGCATTTGCCATATACTAATCTGTATAAATGGCAGTCTAGATTCCAAATCTTCTTTTAGATTCCGTCTTTCGTTGATATGTTTGAGTGCCTGTTGATCGGAGACTCTCTGTGAACAGATTGTTTAGTCCTTACTGCATCTAAAATCAAAACGGCCCGAAGACACTGGGATGATTTGAAGACTTGGATGACTGGTGACCGGTCCGTACCATTCGGTTTGGTTACTGTATGATGTGTAGTTGGCAAGCTCACCTCTTTCTTTTTGCGCGGAGGCGGAGGCCTGGGTGACGCAGGCGGACGCGTACCTGATCGCACCAGTGGTGACAGCTTGTGGATGTAGGGTACTAGGAGAGTTGCGGACTGAAACATAGAACAACGGATTTCCACAATGTCCACAGCAACGCTTAGAATTATAGTCAACAAAGACTGCGGGCAATATAATATACAAACATAGAATGCGGGCAATAGTATCAAATACATGTCTCATAATACCCCCACGCACACACATTTATCTATATATATATATATATCTATTTTCACATGTATATACCAGTAGTACCGCACAAGGCGGTGGGGGAAGTTTCAAAAATAGGAAACCTATAGGAGAGGTTGGTTGTTGTGAATCACGAATGACAGAGCGAAGCCACTGATGGATCGAAAGGTGATTGATGTATCCTCTCTTTCTCTCTCTTTCTGTCTCTTTCCCTCTGACTATCTTCACCTACCTACCCACCTATCTATCTATGTATCCATCTATCTCTCTCTCTCTCTCTGTCTGTCTGTCTGTCTGTCTGTCTCTCTGTCTCTCTGTCTCTCTGTCTCTCTGTCTCTCTGTCTCTCCGTCTCTCGGTCTCTCTGTCTCTCTGTCTCTCTGTCTCTCTGTCTCTCCGTCTCTCTGTCTCTCTGTCTCTCTGTCTCTCTGTCTCTCTGTCTCTCTGTTCTCTCTGTCTCTCTGTCTCTCTGTCTGTCTGTCTGCCTGCCTGCCTGCCTGTCTGTCTGTCTGTCTGTGTCTGTCTGTCTATCTCTCACTCTATCTACCTATCTATCTATCTATCGATCTATCTTATCTATCTTATCTATCTTATCTATCTTATCTATCTACCTATCTATCTATCTATCTATCTATCTTTCTAACTTATCTTTCTATCTATCTATCTTATCTATCTTATCTATCTAATCTATCTAATCTATCTAATCTATCTTATCTATATTATCTATCTTATCTATCTATCTATCTATCCATCCTATCTTATCTTATCCTATCCTATCCTATCCTATCCTATCCTATCTATCTGTCTATCTATCTATCTATCTACCTATCTATCTATCTATCTTATCTATCCTATCTATCCTATCTATCCTATCTATCCTATGAATCCTATCTTTCCTATCTATTCTATCTATCCTATCTATCCTATCTATCCTATCTATCCTATCTATCCTATCTATCCTATCTATCCTATCTATCTTATCTATCTTATCTATCTTATCTATCTATCTATCTTTCTTTCTTTCTATCTATCTTTCTATCTATCTATCTACCCGTCTATCTGCAAGCTTCAAAACCAAGCTATTCTGCGAGACTTCTTCATTTTTCAAAGTTGACAACATCAAAAACGAAGCAAGTCTGCGAGACTTCCTCAATGTTTGAACTTGACTACGTCAAAAACGAAGCAATTCTGCGAGACTTCTTCACTAAAGTTGACAACATCAAAAACGCAGCAATTCTGCGAGACGTCCTCAATATTTGAACTTGACAACGTCAAAAACAAAGCAATTCTGCGAGACTTCTTCATTTTCAAAGTTGACAACATCAAAAACGAAAGAATTCTGCGAGACTTCCTTCAAAAATGGAAAGTTGAGTGCAAAGCTGACGGCCTCGTACCAATGCGTTTTGCCATTTTTCCAGTCCACCTGTCTAAAGTATTGCGCCTGCCACGAAAAAGTGATGCCAGGTCATACGAAGTGCTGTTAAAATCATCTCAGCAAACCTGAAGATCTGAGGCTCCAAAATGTAACCCTTCTCAGGAAATCAGCGCCCGGACCTCCAAACAGCTCTGATGAAGATGTCTCTTGTACACGGAAAATGCATCTTTGCAGAGCCTCTTCAAATGTCCCACGCCTGCTATCCTTTTTGGAAATGCTACAAAACCCTTTTTTGCTGTTTTTGCTCACTTTTGACCAAGTCCACAATCCCTTGCGCCTGCCACGCGAAATGACATCTGAACGTCCAAAAGTGGTCCGAACCCTTGGTGTTCCACAACAGCGTGCACTTTTTCGACATCTCAACTTCCAAAAGTGGTCCGAACATGTGGTGTTTTTCACATTTTGACTTCGACATGTGCTTCGCGCCACAACGGCGTGCACTTTTTCGACATCTCAACTTCCAAAAGTGCTCCGAACATGTGGTGTCTTTAAACATTTTGACTTCGAAATGTGCTTCGCACCCCAACGGCGTGCACTTTTTCAACAGCTCAACTTCTAAAAGTGGGCCGAACGTGAGGTGTTTTTAGCTTTGTCATTTGCAAATGTGCTTCGTGCCACAACAGCGTGCACTTTTTCAACGCGCAACTTCCAAAAGTGGTCCGAACATGTGGTGTTTTGTACATTTTGACTTGGAAATGTGGTGCTGCGCGCCACAACGGCGCGCAATTTTTCATCTCTCATCTGGCCAGATGGCGCCGCACCCGCGCTTTAGCGAGCCTAATCTTCGACCCTCCGGAGCCCCAAATCATTGGAAAAACACAGTGTTTCGCGACTTTCCTACCTTTTCGCGCACCTGCATCTTCTTTCTTCTGACTCTTTCTCTTCTCTGATCTTCTCTCTTCTACTCTTCTCTTCTCTCTGACTCTTCCCATCTCTGCTTTTCATCTGTCCATATTGTCGGAAGTTTGACTTCTAAACTTCCTTCGATAAATATAACTAAATATAATTAATTAATTAATTAATTAGTTAATTAATTCAGTAAATAAATATTAAATATATATATATATACAAATATATATTGTCATATATACAGATCGATCGACAGATAGATAGACAGATAGATTGATATACGTAATACGTATGTTTCAGTCTGCAGCTACATAAACTTATTGTTTTTTGCAGATTTTCGGGACCATAAACCAGAATAACCAGAACTACCCTGGTAAATCTGCTCAGCGCTGTGGAGACAGCCATCAGGCGGTTGACGATCAGGTCGCAGTACGGATTGGCGACCAGACGGACAGAAACCGGGATCTGTTTCCTTCTTCCCAAGTACACTTTGATGGCGAAGTGTTTTGTGAGTCTGATGTACCAGTTAAGTTCCTAATTATGGGTACCCAAAAATTTAGAAGAATAAGTAAGATCAAATAATTGAACCATGATTGACGTCCCCATTTTTCGCATGGAACCGTAGTGGTTTTTGGAGATTGGACGTGAGTATTCGCAGGCGATTATTTGACCATGGTGACTATGGTGATAGCACCCCAGAAAGAGAAAAACGTGACATAATTGGTCAAAGTGTTTGGCTTGGCGAGGACACCCTCCTGACCGCGATGGAGAACACAATGTCTCTTGGCAGCACTGGCTGCCCGAAACCACAGCCGGGACACCAGAACATAGAGGTAACATGCACGTTCCATGGTTCAAATCGCATATGAAAAACGCATATGTTTTCAAGGGCCCCCATTGCAGCGCACATCAGCTGCAACATTCTTTGTTGTTTGATACCTGTTCCTGGGGTCATCGGGTGCAGACCTTTGAGAACAGTTCCAAGGAACCCTCTCAAGCAGTGTCCAAGACAAACTCCAACCCAGGGGAAAACAAAAGAAACATCATAATTTTTTTAATGTGCATTTCCCTGGGCTGGGTGAAGTTGCCAGACAGCGCTCACTTTGCCGCCAAAACGCGCACGAAGACGAAGTGGCGAGGCCACTTGGCAGATTAAAGATGTTCTGATTCGGCACCGACTCCCACCATTCACGGTACTTTGGTATTTGGAGGGATTTGCCAACTGAACCTTCCATTGTTGATGGGGATAGTCATTGAGGGAAAATTGCGCAATAGGCAAGGGCAACAATGGGATTCAAAAGGGCCGGACTAGGTGGACCACATTTGTACGGGAAGACTCTATAGTGAGACCACTAATGGAAGAAATTTTCACTTTAGGCACTTAACGAACTTATAAGTACCTGATAAGTTGCTAGTATCTTGCTTATATCTTGTTTAAATTGCTTTTTAAAATTATTTTGAGTTAAGTTTCGCTATTTTTTTTATTTGAGTTTATTACATAATAATGACGATATAATCAAATATATTCGAATATTAGTGAAAAAATATGTGAAAATATTTGAAAATATCTGAAAATATCTGAAAATATCTGAAAATATCAGAAAATTCAGAAAATTCAGAAATTCAAAAAATTCAGAAAATTCAGAAAAAATCAGAAAATTCAGAAAAATCAGAAAATTCAGAAAAAGAAAATTCAGAAAATTCAGAAAAAGAAAATTCAGAAATTCAAAAAAATCAGAAAATTCAGAAAAATAAAAAATTCAGAAAATTCAGAAAACTCAGAAAATTCAGAACATTCAAAAAATTCAGAAAATTAAGAAAATTAAGAAAATTAAGAAAATTCCGAATTATATATATATATATTTAAATATAAAGAATTCAGAAAATTCAGAAAAAATCAGAAAATTCAGAAAAATAAAATTCAGAAAATTCAGAAAAATAAAATTCAAAAAAATCAGAAAATTCACAGAAAAAGAGAAGTCAGAAAATTCAGACATTTTAGAAAATTCAGAAAAATAAAATTCAGAAAATACAGAAAATTCAGAAATACAGAAAATAAGTGAAAATAAGTGAAAATAAGTAAAAATAAGTAAAAATAAGTTCTATGATAAGCCCAAATAAGTACTAATATTTCCATTAAGTGCCTAAAGTGAAAATATCTTCCATTAGTGTTCTCAGTAAGGCAAGTGAATTCATTGAAATAATCATTTTATGAAATACAGTGCATATTTCACACAGCCTGTAAATAGGTCATGTACGGACATTTTCACGTGGACCTGCACAAAAGGGACCTTCCACAAACCAGGCAATCTGGAACAATATTTTTTCAAAACATATCACAGCAGTCACCGGCCCATTGCCCTGGACAGGTTGAATGCACTCGTGGCAGAGAATGTGCCGCGGTGTCGTGTGAAGTAAAGTTGGTGTGCAGGGCACAGCCCCATGTTTAAACTTCAAGACCAAAAAAGTGAGAAGGGCCATCGGACCAAAGTTCATGCATGATTTGGCAAGCGCAATCTCAAAAAAAACATGGAAACTACAAAGTGCCCGCTACCAACGCCAGGCTGTACTCTCTCCACATCTCTACTCTCTTCACATCCGAGCTCTCTCACATCTCTACTGGCTCCACATCCCTACTCTCTCCACTTCTCTACCCTCCACCTCTCTACTCTCTCACGTCCCGACTCTCTCGCATTTCTACTCTCTCACGTCCCGACTCCCTCGCATCTCTACTCTCTCCGCATCCCTGCTCTCTCCACTTCTCTGCTCTCTCTAAATCCCTATTCTCTCACATCCCTACTTTCTCCACATCTTGAAAATTCGTAAAACGCAGTTTAGGCCCTTCCAAACTTCCTTTGAAGTTTTTTTGAAGGAATTCACTGAACATCAACATCTGCTGGAGGGGTGATTGATTGAGAGCCGCCCAAAAAGACCCAGTCTCCAGGATGACGCTATCGTTTGGCTTCAGGGTTACATCCGGAGGCCGGGCCCAGGGCTTGGATGACCGATCCACCACTTGCGGGTTTCAATGTCTAATTTTGGATGATTTGAGGGCACCTCCATTTTAGAAAACCTCCATGTGACAACTCGAAAATTGAATGGTATGATGGTATGTACAGAATAAAATTCAATGGCAAAACAAGATTTAAGGGCCGGAGAACCCCACATGACAACTTCTTCCAATAAGTAGCCAAAGAAAGGTGACGATGGGATGGGAAAGGCAGGAAAGAGAAAAGAGATGGTGGAGGATCGGTGTGTGCAAGAAATGCATGTCGAAGTGAGGTGTGTGAAAGTGTTCCGTGTAAAAGTGTTGTTGGTGAAAGAAGTGTGTGTAAAGGTGTGGTGTGTAAAAGTCGTGTGTGTGAAAGAGTCGTGTGTGAAAGTGCTGTGGGTGAACTATATACGGAAGAGTAGAGAAGAGAATCGAATTGAAGAGTAGAAATTTGATTAGAGAGGCGTAGGGCAGAGAAGGGAAGAGTAGAAAAGATTGGAGCAGAGTCGAGAAGAGAGGGGTGCCTTGCAAAACCAAGATCTCCTACAGATCTCGTAAGGACCTCGTAAGGATCTCGTAAGAATAACGTTGTCAAGTGTGTTGTTCAGTACTGAAATGTTCCTGGTGTGCCGCTGGGAAAAAGCGTTTTGTGAGTATATTTTTTCCAGGGTAGGAATGAGAGTCCACCAGTGAGAATGACATTTAGAACTCCTGGTCTTCTAGAGGTCAAGTTGATGGTGCGACATGCGGTTTACAATGCTTTGTGTCAGGTTTAAGACAGATAAAAAACGATACAAAACGTATCAGTCGGCATAGGAATTTCATGAAAACAATGTGCACATATATGGATGGGTGCCGGTGTACCGTTGTGATTTGGCTATGGCACAACTTATTCGGGTTGTGGGGTAAGCTGTGTGCCAGGGGTGGGGTAAGATTAAAGGTTGTGGCGTAAGTTACCACCCGTACTCGTATGTACAAGTGCTGTGGATAAGTGGTGGGTGATCATGTGATGTAGCCATAGCCGACATGCCAACACCATGAATAGAGGTGAATGGCAACCGCCAGACCAGTGCCACAAGTGCCACGCCTGCCATGCAAGTGAAGGTCATTGTCGCCAAGTGCGACGCCTGCCACACAGACTGGAGGTCGATGCCGCCAATTGCCACGCCTGCCACGCAAAAGCAAGGTCGATGTCACCAAGTGGCACCCCTGCCACACCGAATGGAGGTCGATGCTCCAAATGCAACGCTTGCCACACAAACAGCTGCGGCGTCCACGACGACACGCCACCAGAGCCAGCCCAGTGCCATAAGTGCCACGTCTGCCACGCAAAGTGAAGGTTGATGTCGCCAAGCGCCACGCCTGCCAAACAAAGTGAACGCCAAGTGCCACGCCTGCCACGCAAATAGTTGAGGTGTCCACGGCGACAAACGGGAACCAAGCGCGCCACAAGAGCCAGCCCAGTGCCATAAATGCCACGCGTGCCACACAAAGTGAAGGTCGATGTCGCCAAGTGCCAGGGCTTGCCACACAGAATGGAGGTCGATGTCACCAAGTGCCATGCCTGCCACGCAAGACACCCCGGCGTTACCAACGATGTCTCCAAGTGCTACGCATGCCGCGCAAAAGACAGCGACGTCACTGGCGACCAGCGCGGACCAAGCGTGTCACCGGACCAGCCCAGTGCCATAAGTGCCATGCCTGCCACGCAAAAGCATGTGTGATTGAGTTGTGTGTGAATAAGTTGTGTGCGTGTGAGAGAGCTGTGTGTGTGTGACTATGTTGTGTGTGAGTAAGTTGAGAGAGTTGTGTGTGAGTATGTTGTGTGTGTGATTGAGTTGTGTGTAAGTAAGTTGTGTGTGAGTAAGTTGTGTGTGATTCAGTTGTGTGTGAGTAAGTTGTGTGTGTGAGAGAGCTGTGTGTGAGTACAGTAAGTTGTGTGTGAGAGAGTTGTGTATGAGTAAGTTGTGTGAGTAAGTTGACAGAATTGTGTGTGAGTATGTTGTGTGAGTGTGCGGGTAAGTTGTGGGAGAGTTGTGTGTGTGAGAGAGAGTTGTGTGTGAGTAAGTAGTGTGTGAGAGAGTTGTGTATCAGTAAGTTTTGTGTGTGTGAATTTATGTTGTGAGAGAGTTGTGTGTGTGTGTGAGTATGTTGTGTGGTTCTGTGGGTAAGTTGTGTGTGTGTCTGTGTGTGGGAGAGCTGTGTGTGTGTGTGAGTAAGTTGTGAGAGATTTCTGTGTGAGTAAGTTGTGTGTGTGAGAGAGTTGTGTGTGAGCAAGTTGTGTGAGAGAGAAAGAGAGAGAGAGAGAGAGCTATGTGTGAGTAAGTTGTGTGTGAGAGAGTTGTGTGTGTGTGTGAGTAGAGGGCGGGAGACGGACGACGGAAGCGGCCGGGAGTGCACAGCCAAAAACAAGAACCCCACACAAAGATAGGCGGAACTATAAATATATACTATGATGGTCTTTTCTCATTCTCATTATGCTGACAATAGTCCTTGATTTCACTACTCCAGAGTTTGGAAATACAACCCCCAACTTGGGCTTTGCTTCCAGGCACTTCAGAGATGGGCTACTAACCAATTGAGGGACACTCAGCCGCAGAAGACAGGGAAACATTTGACAAATCGGTATTTCGTATCTATGCATCTGTGTATCTATGTATCTATCTATCTACCTTTCTATCTTTCTTTCTATCTACCTCTATATCTACCCATCTATCTATCTATCTATCTACCTATCTATCTTTCTTTCTTTCTACATGTCTATCTGTCTACCTGTCTATATCAGTCTACCTATCGATCTACCTATCTATCGGTCTACCTTTCTATATGTCTCTCTCTCTCTCTCTTGATTGTTTATATTTATCTATCTATCTATCAACCTAATCTATCTATCTATATATCTATCTATCTACCTATCGATATATCTACCTATCTATCTTTCTATCTTTCTTTCTTTGTACATGTCTATCTGTCTGTCAGTCTACCTATCTATCTACCTATCAATCGGTCTACCTTTCTATCTCTCTCTATCTCTCTCTCTTTTCATTTATCTATCTAACTATCTATCTATCTATCTATCTATCCATCTATCTATCTATCTATCTGTCTATCTATCTATCTGTCTATCTATCTATCGATCGATCTATCGATCTATCTATCTATCTATCTATCGATCGATCGATCTATCGATCTATCTATCTATTTATCTATCTATCTAATCTAATCTAATCTAATCTAGTCTATATAGTCAAATCTAATCTAATCTGATCTAATCTAATCTAATCTAATCTATCTAATCTATCTACCTATCTATGCCTACCTATCTATCTATCTCTCTCTCCCTCTCTCTCTCTCTCTCCTTCTCTTCGTTCATCTATCTATCTATCTATCGATCGATCTATCTATCTATCTATCTATCTATCTATCTATCTATCTATCTATCTATCTGTCTCTCTCTCTATCTATCTATCTATCTTTCTTTCTATCTATCTATCTACCTGCCTATCTATCTATCTATCTATCTATCTATCTATCTATCTATCTCTCCCTCCCTCTCTATCTATCTATCTATCTATCTTTCTATCTATCTATCTATCTGTCTATCTATCTATCTATCTATCTATCTATCTATCTCTCTATCTATCTATCTATCTATCTTTCTATCTATCTATCTATCTATCTCTCTCTCTCTCTCTATCTCTCTCTCTCTCTGTGTGTGCGTTTTGGCCCACAGAGGTTGGAAATGGAACTGGAGAAGGAACTTGGCAAAAACCAGTTCTGGAAGAGATTTAAACCCAAACATAGGGATATTATGGGGATTGAAGCCGTTTTCACATTTTTTGTGGATGGCATATGGGTGATCAGTGATAAGCGCTGCCTGGGATGCAGATCCATATGGTTGTCCGACGAAATTGGGTGACTTTACACCCAGGTCAATTGGCAAAACGGATGCCGATAAACGGGATACTTCCAGCAAACATCGGGGATTAAGAAAACATGATTGGGTATTGGGGATGTTCAACGAAAGGCGGAAGAGTGTTTGATTACATTGCGGAAATTCCTTTTGATGATGGAGGCATAGAATTTGATGCCCGATGATGCGCTAATACCTTGAAACTGTAGTTTGGTCCTGGGTCAATTCATTCTGGGCCCCTTATTGGGAGATTTCATACTAGGCGGGAAGGGATTAGTTTGGAAGGAACATTCCGAGGGTTCCAGCCCCTAACCCCTCTGTTCAGACTCAGGCGCGGCACTCTGGAAGCCAAGCAAACTTCGTGGTGGACTTATAAGTTTGATCCCAGAGGTTGGACCGTTTTGTTTGTTTATCCAACAGACATGTGATAGAAACCAACCAAGTGTGGGACTGACTATAGCCAGACAGTGGATGCTTTTCAATCAACAACCGATCAGCCAAACATATAAGAAAGAGACACCACAGAGTTTGGTGGTTCAGTATTCTAATGGCTAAGGTCCATGCACCTGTGAGCGAGCGTGGATGAGCCAATGCAGCCCTTGTCTTCCGAAGAGCAGCAGCTTCTTTTGCGCTTGCAGCAGCGTCCCTTGCTCACGAGAGCTTTCCAGATTTGGATGGAGCTTCTAGCGAATGGAGCCTCACCAGTGGTCATTGCTGGTGGTATGACTGACGCGTCCAAGCGTCGTTTGACCGAAGTCAGTGCTCCTGATATGGCTTTCAACTCTGGATATGCCGCGGTGGCTGTGCTGCCTGAAGGTGTTCGCCTTTCTGCTGGTGGCGCTCCAACCATGTGCCCGGATGGAGCTTCTTTAATTGGGAATGACCAAGAAAGGCCATAAGATAACCTTTCCACCTGGCATTGAAGATTTGACCATGTGGGGCCGGTCACACTTTGGTGGAGTTTGGAAAGTACTCAGGCCAAGAGCTCGCTTATGAAGATTTGGCCACATCCACTACAAAGGAGCACAAGAGCTATGTGAAATGGTGTATCGGACAAGTGGATGCCGCCGAGGGCCGTCTTCATGGTTTGTCTTTGTACTTGGTTGCTCGAGAGCATGTGATGGGTACCATGGAGCAGCGCCCAGTGATTCTGGTACTACTGAAGTGCGACGCTTGCGCCGTCAATAGGATGGCATAGCTTTTGCGGCTGATGGCATAGCGTAGGTTGTTTATGGATAAAAAGTGACTGTGGAGAAGTCACTTCCAAGTCAGTTTTGAGATTTGGAGGAGTGTTGATGTCACAACACCTGTCTTGCTCCTCTTGTATCATTTTCCCATTTGTGCTTGCCAGCCGCTGCACATAGCCATCCAGACTCAAGGGAGTCACGGACTTCATAGGAGACCTTCGATGCGATGCCAACGCGGTGAAAACGCAGTGGAGTGCTTCGCAGGCCACTGGGGAGGAGAAGTTGTAGCGGAGGCGTGGAAGCCTCATTCCTCGTTCCGTATCAATTTAATTATAATATATATATATATTTATTTATTTATTTATACATATTATATATATATATGTTTATACATATTATATATATATATATTATATGTGTAATATTATATATAATTATATATGTATATAATATATTTATAATATTTGCATATGTATTATGTATATATGTATTCGTATTTATTTTTAATTATATATATATATATACCTATCCCTTATTTTCATATGTTTGCTACCATGACGGTCCTAACGGCTGACTCAAATGGAACCGGACATCCATAGGTCTACCTCTCAGTGCCCCAACTGGCCCGGATGCACCTGGATTCCTGGAGCGACTTTTTGGCCCGGTGTCCCGGAGGGTGGCAACAAAAAAGTCCTGGCTTTGATGGATCAAACATGTGGGATTTTCCATGGGGTACTGGAATTTATTGGATGATTCTGAATCGATTGAGGTTTTGGAGTTTTTCTGGATATTCCGTCTGTCGGCATGAATTCCTCATTGCACAGAGCCATTTTGAACCCATTCTGAAATCTGGCATTGGAACTGATCAGAATAATATGTTCAATGGTTGAGCCTTGTGTGACCCAGGCCGCTTGTTGGCATGAAACAGCTAACGGTATCTATCTTACCATCTCAGGTTCCTTCGTTATATATCCCAAAATTTTGCGCAGTCCAAAATTACCCCGTTTTCTGGAAAGGGCGTGGGAAAAAACTGGACGGTGCATAAAATTTCGAATTGCAATACCCAAAGTTGTGGCTTCAGAGTCACAATACTGACCCAAGTCAGCATTTATCTTTCATTCAAACAACATTTTTTTTACTTACATAACATTACATTTGGAATTGTTACATAACATTATATAACATAATATCAATTAATTCATTACACAACAATTATGTAAATTGGAAACCAAATAGCACGCACTCTCCCAGACAGAGTCTCGTTCCCATCATGGTCCCTGTGAGATGGAAGGGAGATCCGTGAACAGTTTCTGTTTGTACCAGTATATTTCCTAAATCCGCAAGTTGCATGACGTATGTATATATCATTATATATCTATATATACAAACCTATACAAATATATACTTCAATATCAAAACAAATGAAATCTATTTTTTTCATGGCACATAAGATCAGACAAAAGTTTTTAAAGATATGTCCCCATTTCCCATATATAATTAGATATGAATTCGAATGACAATATCATACAATATTTATATCATATAAGTCTCCTATCCAATTTGCTCCATGAATATTCCCGCAGAGGTCCTCACGGTCCCTGCGTTGATCTTCGTGGTCATGGCCAACGAAATGGCCAGGTTGGCCTGATGATTTGGTTGGTGAACATGGTCTTTTCATGGGATTTAACCATGAAATTTAGAAAATTTCACGATATTGAATTGATGGGATTAAAATATGAAGATTAAACCATCAAGTAGAGAGGATTAAACCACAAATAGTTATGGAATTTCATTTAGATGATTTAGGGTCATGAATTATGGATAATTATGACTATTTATGGAGCATTTACCGTCTGGCAATCAAACATGGCAATCGAAAATCTACAGCTAGTTCGATGATTTTCCAACTAGACCATAAACAAAGAGGATATCAATGGATAGAGCTGATACATGTTGAATCATATAATAGGTTGTGGTTGTGGTTGTGGTTGTGGTTGTTGTTGTTGTTGTTGTTGTTGTTTTATTACCACTATAGTCACTAAAACATTGGGGATATCAAGATATCATTGATGATGTTTGATGCATGGGTGGTCAGTCATGAAACAGGGGGCTATGAACTTAGTTGGTTTGTCGGTGATTATGAACAAACCCAGGGATACCAATGCTTACATGATAGAGGTCGCAGAGGCACCAACAATAACGATGATTCTTCAGTTCACCCATAGAAGCCATGGCCCATTTACTTCGATGAATTGCCTATTTAAAAATGGGTGATATTCCATAGCGAAGTGTTGGTCACTACCAGAAGGTAATTCCAAGAGCATCTCGATGTTCAGCAGGTTCAGCAGGCCCTGTCAACCCCCCAATGGACACCCTCGCAACCCTTGCGGAGTGTATTTGATTAAGAAAAACATTTGGGGAGGTCCATTATTCAAGGTATTTTATATTGAGGGAACGGATTCTGGGCCAACTTGGATGGTTAGTTAAGGACTTAGTATTTCGATTTTTTAATTAGTATGGACCTTCGAATTCATGCGAGAGTCGAACTATTAATTGGTATATACACCTTAGCTAAACATATACCATTTGTTTATATTATGTTGCTAGGTATCTGCCCTCTGGCAATCAGACATAGCCATGGAACATGGCCATGTTTAATAAATCTACATACTGACAATTTTCCTTTGCTGTGTTAGATTATCATAGGGTAGTACATTGTGTTTACTATATACAATATATGATACACTACTACATCCTCATCATCCACTACACCTTGATGGTTGAGATATGGCTGAACTTACCTTCCGCTAATCAACCACATGCTTACATTGTTACATGGTTTGCTGGATAATTTCCCATTTAAAATTATTTAAATCATTTAGTTCGATGATTTTCTCAGCTGTAAACATGTAAAAACCGTTGAAACTTCCATTCTTGGAGGATTTCTTTGCCATGTTTCGAGATGTTGAGGACACCGAAGGGTCGGCAATCGACCACACGCAGGCGCATTGAAACAGCCTGGAAATTCCGCTTCCTGGGCCATGAAGAACGCGTGAAACTCCGATCTTCGGAAGGTCAATGGCAGGTGCTGCGGAGGGCTGCCGTTGGGTCAGGTGCTCAGTGCTAGACATCGATTCAACAAAGAAACATGGGGATTGAACCAATGAATGTATACTGGTTGAATAGGGGACATTACGGATATGTAATGGGGAACAATGGTGTGTATATGTGTATACATATATAGTTATATTTACATAATACACATACATAATTTATATGTTCAATATGTATAAACATGTACACAAGAAGGGCCAAATCGGAGCAAATCCCTGGGTAAAACTTGATCGGGTCAACGAGGTCAATCATGGTGACATATGGTGACTTTTCGGCATCTTTTTGAAGGCAGGCTACTTATATCCCATGTTAAGCTCGAGTGAATTCCCTACATTGCCCAAGAAGTAAATGAGCAAAATATACCCACAAAGAAAGTTAACACAAACAATTCATGAAATACACAGCAATTCAGTGTTCGTGAATTTGCTCGCCAATTTATAGAATTTCAAGTGAACTAATATTAATTAATCCCCAAATGGTATCCCAAACAAGTGCAGAATATATTTCCTATACTTCAATTTGCCGAACTTTGGCTTAGTTCTAGGCCTCGGGTTTTATCAAACGTGGCTGGAAAATCCACCACACAGTTCGATGATTTTCCCATTGCCACCTTTGATTGTCAGAATGACATTAAGAAATCGCCATGGAAACTGGCCCATTTGTACAGGATGAACATGATGATGTACCTATTCACCATGGTAATTTTCAATAGCTATATGTTAAAAAAAATACAGATAGTAAATCCTTGAAACTTTTATGAAATCCCCAAGTGTTGATAGTGAAATAACCGGAGGGTAACCGTTAACAACCCCCAGACTCTTCGGTGGGTCGCAGGTGGTGGACGGGGCCCCGCACCTCTTGGGTGCGCGAGTGGAAGCGCTGGACGGAGAGGGGCGCTCCTTGCTGCGCACGGGAAGCGCCGTGACGGTGCAAGGTGCCGCAATGACGGGATGCTGCGGCTGTGATGATGGATATTTTTTCCTGGAGATGTTTCTCTAAATCTTTTTGGGGGAGGTTGATTACATTATAGTTGGAAACTTACTTGTGTAAAGTGGGAATCCCCTTTGTGGAAAGTACAATATGTTCATAAATGTTCCCATCTCAAGTCCCATGAAACACTTGGTGTTTCACTGGTATTTCCATGTGAGCCATGAACAAAATACGTTTGTTGATTGGCTCCTTTGGGGGGGTTATACAAATAATACTACCTGGCTTATATGGGATTATTATTAATACAAGGTGGCACTGGCGCCCCCACTTTTATTTGTTGCTTTATCAACCCCATGAACTATAGTTACCCTTCAGTAAATTAACATAGACCCTGCCAGATAGGGGTTGGAAGATAAGTTTCCACTCGAAATTCATGATTTCCAGGGTCAACAAGTTAAATCAATATGGTAATTTACCATGAGGGTACATCATGTTATATCCCCCTAATCAACCCAAACGTTCACCAAGTGATGTTTTCTCACCTTGTAACCACAAGGCCCTGCGGTGTTGTTCTTCAAGAACCCACACAGGCGGGGCTGAACAGTTCATCAACGAATGGTCTAATGACTTGGGATGATTTAAGAGAATACACCACACATATCCACAATTTTTAATTGATTTTTCTGGGAAAGCTCCATCAATATTGTTTTTATCAATGTTCACCATATATACTGTAATCTATAGCTACACTACTGATGGTTGTTGAAGTGTATTTCGAAGATCGAATTACCTGATTTGGGGTTTGAGCATCATAAGGTTTAGTTGCCTGAGGCTTCAAGCACTCACTACAAGGTGGTGCCCCCAAAGGATACTGTAGTTCGGTTGGTATATAACTGAAAAAACTAATGACTATAGGGATTATTGTATATACATATATCGAACTAGTTCATGCGGGTTATCCCCCAAAAAATGTTTGTTTTAGGGGCGAATCTGAACCACTCACAATCCCACCGGTTCAAAAAGAGCCAATCTCAAAAGTCCCATTGGCGTCACCCAAACCTGGGGGGTGGTTTTGTGGGTGTGTGCTTGCACTGCAACGCAACCAGGTAACCTTGTCCCTTTCAGAGTGAAAAACTCCGTTTCATCCCATTCCTTCCAGCATTGGACAATTAAAACAGTTGCAGTGAATCCTACCGAACTTTGGAGGTCACATGCCCTTAATTCAGTGGATGTTTCCATATTCCTGCCGAGTAAAACCCCTCATTGAAATGCCAATGATTTCACCAGAAAGTCATCCTCGCTGTCAAAAATCCCATGCTGTCCGCCAGGTACGGATCCTTATGGGTTTCCTCTGGATTTCGAGCCTTGACACCTCTGGCGCATCTCAGTACATTGCTGGCCATCTATCAGGTGCGAGCCAAAAAGTGGGACTTGGCTTGAGCCAACTGCTAAGCAGTTGCGATCCAAGACTTTACCCAGTTAGATATGCATAAATCAATTACTAACTACAAGCTTTTGTCGGACTTTACCAGAATGATTATGACATGTATATATATATATACATATGTTAACGTGTTTCTTTTCTACCAGTTAGATGATGTTAGAGTCGTGCTTTTTCTCATTGGTTGCCCAAGTCGCTCCGCAGGTTTGGCAGCGTCTCTTTCAGGGCGTCATCTTCGTAGATGTCCTGATTCTCCTGGTGCTCTCCGGCGCCAGTGCCCTGGTGAGCCGGATGCCAAAAAACGATCAAAATGGCCATTTTAGGATGTTTTAGGCAATTGTATTGGTATATTATATATATATTATATTACAGTACAGTATTTTATAGTACAGTAATGTAGTATAATCTTCTAGTTTTGTTTCCGTTACAATATACTGTACTGTACTGTATATTACAGTACTTTACTACAGTATACAGTAAGACACTACTGTACAATATATAATACAGAACATTGATGTAGAACTAAAGGTTTTTCTTGATATTAACTTGGTTTATGTAGAACTACAATATTGTATAGTGCTGTATTGTAGTTGTTATTTGGGTTTCATTGATGTTTCAATACTCACTATATATAGATATATATGTTTTTTCATATTTTGTTTTTTATTGCATCGTTTTTTCATCATTTTCTTTTTTTCATTGATTTTTGCAATGTTTTTCTACATCTTAAATGCAAAAAACACTTTTCAATATGTTTGTTAAGACTTTATTTTATAGTACCATATTCTAAGTGCAAAGCCAAACATATTCCATGTGCAATCTTTCATATTCTAAGATATTACTTGTAAGCTCATATTCTAAGTGTGGTTTAAAACAAATATATTCTAAGTGCTGGGCCACCTGAGTATATTGTTATTGATATTGATATTGCTAGAATTTACATGGATTGTTATGGATTGTTATGGGTTGTTATGGATTGCTATGGGTTGTTGACTCCGCAGCTGGTTCATTGTTTCAAATATCAAAACAAAGATGGAGCATACAACAACCAATCATGGGGAAACACTCAACAATGCATAACAATGCCACATGGCTGTGTCTACCCTTCTTGCAACTCTACATGGCAAGGACACAAAATGGAAAACTGGGAAGCATGAAGAAAACACATCTACAACATCCTGGGAAAACCATTCGAAGTGGGGGAGTTCCTATACTTAACACGGATCCGGGAACATACAGTCTAAAAGAAGATGAAGTGATTGAATCTGGTGACCCAGACGACGTCACATAATTTTCAGGAATTGAAACCAATTACTGTACATGGATCTCCAGTGGTGTGAAGTTCATCAACCATCAGTGTTACACCATGTCACACTAAGGATCGCTTTCTGTTTTGTTGGGATGTTTAATCCCATACCCCTAATAAACACAACCTGTACTATGGTCCCAAACATGCGAACATTCCCTACTAAACCATGGTTTCAGGTGTGTTAAATATTCCCATACAGATGGCAAGCAGCTGGGGGAAACTGCAGGGAAAGTCGCTCCATCTTGCGTTCACTTGCGCGGGAGAAGTCATAGAATTGCATTTGCTGAAACGTCAACGTCCAAAAGAAAGTAAAACATAAAGAAAGACAGTGAAAGAACCGGAAAGAAAAGGACCGAACAGGAAAGAAAAGGAAAACAGGAAAGAATAGTAGAAAAGGAAAGAACAGAAAAAAAAAACACAAGAAAAGGAAAGAACGTGAGCGAAGGTGGAGCAAAAGTGAGCACATCGGACCTCGTGCTTACCTCGTTCGCACCTCCTGGGGCCTCGTTAAATTCGCCGGGCATGTGTATAGCCAAAGACAGATTCAAGCATGCCCCCAGATCTGTGTTTTGATATTCCCATGCAACATGCGTTCACAATGGGTTTGGCACCAGAAACCCAGCTGAAATGTGCCTCCAAACCAGTACTTTCATGATCCAGCTAAAACTTGCGTTCATTGGAATTTTACATTGACGTTCTCATCAACATATGATGTCAACCCAAAATGTAAGTTGTCTTTCTATGGTCCGACTTGCGTTCACATGGTGATTTGCAGTTTTGCACAATATGCTGTTTCAATCATTTATCAACAAATCGTCGGAGTTTGATTGGGAAATGTGTGACTTTTTCAGCATCTTGGTGTGCTTTGTGTTCCATGCGGGATGCGGCATTCCCTCAGCCAAGTTGATGTGACTTCCGCGGACAGTGGAATCACTCCGAAGTTTTTTTTCAAACAGTTCAGTCCGCCAGTGCGCCAAGCCCATGTGTTTGATGATATAGTTGGTGTGATTATGATTATTCCAATAACATCCAACAACTAAATTATCAATATCTTGGATCATATTATTTGCTTTGATTATTTTTTTGTATTAAACTATTATTAAAAAACATATGCTATTTGGATTGATGCGAATCTGATCCGCATTCAGAATTAGCAAATCCCGCCCTCAACTGTCGTAACTTGTCCGGGTGACATTTTTGCAGCTCAGGCGGTGTGTTGAATTTTACTCTCATGGATGAAGAGCTGCTGGGCGCGCAAGTTGTGTGCTGTTTTTTGTGGTCACAAATGGCAATGGGATTTAATCAGCAACCATGGTGGTATCGGTATCAAGGAATATTATGTGCTTTTTTAAACAACGTGATTGAATAGGACATGAAATGAATTCATATGATGATACCAGTAGTACCGCACAAGGCGGTGGCGGAAGCTTCAAAAATAGGAAACCGAGGTTGGTTGTTGTGAATCAGGGATGGAAGAGCGAAGCCACTGATGGACCGAAAGGTGCTTGAGGTCTCCTCTCTTTCGCTCTCTTTCTCTGACTATCTACCTACCTACCTATCTATCTACCATGTATCTACACTCCACACTCCACACTTTACACTCCACACTCCACACTCTAGACTCCACGCTCCACACTCTACACTTTACATTCTACACTTTACACTCCACACTTTACACTTTACACTCTGCACTTTACATTCCACACTTTACACCCGAGACTTTACACTTAACACTTCACACTCCACACTTTACACTCCACACTCTACACTTTACACTCCACACTTTGCACTCTACACTCCACACTTTACACTTTACACTTTACGCTCCGCACTCCACACTTTACACTTTACACTTGACACTCCACACTTTACACTCCATACTTTACACTCCAGAGTCTACACTCCACACTCCACACTTCGCACGCCACCTTCTTCCACATTCCGCAGTCTACGGTGCACTGGTATGGTAACAGGGGAAAAATGTGCAAGACTGTTCAAATAAACTGGGTCAGAAAAGTGTTCTGCGTGACTGCATATCCATGTGTTTCGACATCTGTACCATTAACATACGTGTGAGCATTCGGGTTCGTGGGCTGCATCTTGTTCATCCCTTTTTCCAGGTGATCAAATCACCTCAAGTTACCTCAGACAGCCCAGGGTGGTCAGCCTGAGCATCCGGCGACCCTCGCGGACGCGATCCTCGCTGACGACGCAGATCCTCTTCGACGATGCAAAAGACGACTCCAGGAGACTTGAGCAACCCAAAAGTGGCACGGAATCAATGGCAAAATCATCTATAACTGGAGGATTCAATGGCGCAAAATAATCTATAACTGGAGGGTTCAATGGGAAAATCATCCTATAACTGGAGGGTTCGATGGGAAAATCATCCTATAACTGGAGGTTTTAATGGGAAAATCAGCCTATAACTGGAGGGTTCAATGGCAAAATCATCTATAACTGGAGGTTTGAATGGGAAAATCATCTATAACTGGAGGGGTCAATGGCAAAATTATCTATAACAGGAGGTTTAATAACATGATTGACAACTTTGTGTGGCTCCATCTTTGCCCCTTAAACATGCCTTAAACATTATATATATATACATATATCTATATTTTTATATTATACCATGTTTACATATATGTTTACTTTACTTTCATATTTCTGTTGATGCTGAAACATACATTTCCCACTCATTTCACAATTTTATAAATATGTTAAACAGGCTGTGGATGGAATAAATCATGCACCAGTTGGCAAATGGTTTGTCCCATTATACTCCCGTACAATGTTTCGTACTTACTATAGTAGTTGCCCTGGTGCAGGATTTCGCAACCATCCGAAGTATTTTAAGATATGTAACCCATAAACCATCACAAAGCCGGATGGTTTCTTTTGCTGCCATCGGCGCCCGACCACAGGACAGGCAGCGGTCGCTCGGTGGAACTGCAGCCCGCATGACCCGAGGAGCGCGAGGACGTATGACTCCGACTCGACCGGCGCAGCGAGACGCGGGTCGTGGCTTCAGCAGCAAAGATGGGGGTCATAATAATGAAACATGAAACATGGTGTTTTAACCACGAAACATGGTGTGTCAATATGATTGAACCAGGAACAATGGTGAAACATGATGGTTTTTTAGCAGAAACATAGGGATTTATATTATATAACATGATTTAACATGATTCTTGATGGAGATGATAGGGGATATATTTCATGGGATTTCACCATCAAAAATTGGATTTCCCATTTGTTCACCGACAAAAACGAGGGAATTCAACCAAGAAGCATTTGGATCAAAATGTTGAAATGGAGCACATGACCAACACTATGACCTCTGGGTCTGTTTGAAAAGGGGGTTCTCTCTACATACCAACTCTGGTGACAGCCAGGCGGAATCCTGGGAATCCCAAAAAGTTGGCTATGCCCCGTAGCCAAAAAACATTCCAAGCGATCCCAAATCCAGCAGTTTTTGAGTGCTGGAGATATTCCATGTACATGTTGACATTTGTTACATATAAATCTATTATATACATACCTGATATCATGGTTCATCATATTCTAGTACCATATTTTTGTTTTTTGTCACCATAGCCATCCATAGCCATCCATAGCCATGGTCCTTGGGCATCTCAGGTATCTCAGGTGACCGGCGAGATCCACATCAACGGCGGCAACGGCGGCAACGGCGGCAACAGCGGTCCCGTAAAGCGACCCCATGCAGGGCAGATGTTGTTGGAAACCTCTGGAAAAAACGGTGATTTTATGTATGAAAAATACCTTAAAAATACCTTTGTTGATTGGTTTTCCTATAGGGAGTTAGATTAGCTATACGTATATATATATATGTATATGTATATATATATAATACTATGACTGGTTTAGGGATGGTTATAACCAATAGGGATATGTACTAACGAACCAGTATAGTGTCTTTTTTACGGCACACGATAATTTTGGTGGAAAACCATGCGCACAATCTGTGATGCTCAGAAGTGGGCAGGAGGATCTGTGATGTTTCGCGCCTCATTAATCAATCAAAATGGGGATGGAACATTCCAACGACAACACATGTTTTCAGAGTGGTAGTTTCAAAAAGCAAATGTGTTTGTGAATCATGAATCATGCATCCCTAATTTTCCCTATGTACAGCTTGAAACGTGTTCACAGCAACCACCAAAAAGATATACTGCACTGGAAGTAGTAAAACTATGTAAAAATCAAAATCAACTAGAAAAACATGTTGATTCCATATATCCCTTTGGGCGTTATCATTGGATACCTTATGGCCAACCTCACACCCCATAAATAATTCCATAAATGATACAGTAGTCAATATCACCGGAACATCATCAGTCAATCTCATGGTTGAGAAACAAGTTGGATTTGTAGTACTGTAAGTGAGTGAGTGTGTGTATTCAGTGGCAACCGCAGATAGAATCAGCAACTTGCCATTCTCGTGATGCAGGAACTCTCAGGTTGATGAAATCATTTGCCCAGAACCAGCCAGAGACTCTCGTGAATTTTCACCTACGCAAATCGTAGGGTTCACAGGGCTCGTAGGGGCGAAGAATGAAAGAAGGCTGGGTCGGAGGAAAGTGAGAGGAAAAAAGTGACAGGAGAAAAGTGAGACTGCCAGCTTTTGTTGGAGCGCTCTGTAGACCCCGTGATGCCTGAGATATTGTATGGATGGAAACAGTTCCGAAAACATTTAGGAAAAACTCAAAGAACTGAAGCCCCATGGTTTGGTCTCAGGGCCAGTCATTTGCGGCATCATACACCGAGCTTTTTGGCATTTTTTTTGGGGGGAAGCGGATTGTTTGAATCCAGATGTTGGTTCTTTACATTAATGATACTTTATCGTGTTTGCATGTGTTTGCTATGTTGTTGCGTAAATCAGGCCTATGTACAAGTCGAAAAATATCAGGCAGATGATATATAGGTTGGGTGAATCAACAAGGCAAACCTGATTGTTTATCGTGGATATACCATTCTTATAACTTATATGTAAACTAGTTCCTATAAACTTATTGGTCATTAGTTGATCAGTTATATAGTATGAACATGTCTCAACAATGATTGGAACATAAAACACAGCAGGCCCTTGATATAACATGATATACATATAAACTATGCTTGATTCGATTCGTCAAATTATCTGAACAAATCTGCTAGCAAATATCAAGCATAGTGGACCAACGTATTAAATGATCAACGCTCTTGATCAGTACAGTGATATCACCAGCTATGGTTTGGATGGCTGAAATGTAGCCCACTTGTTTAGCTGGTATAATCCAACTTAGCAGGTACAGTCCAACTTAACTGTTTTTTTCTAGAAGCAACACTGGGAATGGTTTACGGCCAGATTAATATGATTATCATATCAAACAAAGATATATATATATATTTCTTCGGGTTATACCCCATCTCTGGAAAAGCTCATCTCAAGTACTTCAGGTTATATGAAATTATATATATACATGTTCTTCTTATGCCCCACTATATTGCCATCATGGCTGGTTTTATACCTCCATTGTTGTTTCTGAACCTTTCTATTTTGTTACAAACCCACTGGAATGGTACCCAATGCCTCAATACACTGTTCAGTACTTGATAGTAATTTTTTATATTAAACTGTCATTTATCCCATTATATCATCACTGTATGCTTTATATCCCAAGGTTTCTTCGTATTTCTTGGTTCAATCCCCAACATGTGTGCCCTTTGTTTGGTGACATCATCCATGCGCCCATCCGCCAGGAGCCTCCAAGTCCCGAACTTCAGGGCGCCTGCGGAGAGGTGGTTCCGGAGTCCCAGTTTCGTGGATCCCAGGTATAAATCAATGGCCATCCCAGGATCCTAAATTGGATAACCCTCCGATATCATCTGTATGTCATGTTGAATTCCCATTTCTCTTCGTTGCTCAAGCGACGACTGCTGAGGACCAGTTGGTGAGCGGCGTGGTCTCTGCCATCGACGGCTTGGAGACCTGGTTCATCTCCAGGTCCAGGTTATACATATATATATAATTATATATATTAAATTTTTCATGCCTTACTAACCTTACTACATCTTATTATATCTTTTTGTATCTCATCACCTCTTATAATAATAGTTATATATGTATACAGAGGTTTCCTAGAATAGGGGTACCCCCCAAATCATCCATTTATAGATTTTTCCCAATATAAACCATCCAGCTATTGGGGTACCCCCATTCCAGGGAACCCCATATATATAAATATATATATATATATGTATATATTTATCATAGTATATCCGCACATATTGTTAATATATATATATGTATATGTTTAATTAACAAGAATATTGAATATTGCGGTATTACGTACATATCTGATGTGTAACAATCACGTTTTTGTATTTTTATACAAGTGCACATACAGGTAGTCTTATGTGTGAAGTACACGTATACATCTAGTAACTATGATACAGTGCTACCTATATAGTCCTTCAATCTAAATGAGAATATCACTCTTATATACACTTTCATACATAATATATATATATATATACACATAACATATATATATAACATATATATATAATATATAACATGTTTATATATAACACACATATATATATATATACATACATAATATATATTTATATATACATAATATACGTAGTATATATATATATATTTATTTATTTATATTTACATAATATTCATAATATATAAATTTAAATGATATACTTAATATATATATATATACATAATATACATAATATATTTATATATATATATATATATATTATTTCTTTATGTACCATACATACATACATACATACATACAGATGTTCCTTCATTCACAGATTAGTAGGAAAGGATACTACTGTACCATGTGGTTCCCTTTTTTTGTACAGGTTTCTGTGTCAACGTTTCCATTAATCTAGTTAATCTAGCTGGGTGATGAATCTGCAGTTCGATGGTTTGTCTTGATGCAGGATTTGCTTTTGGATCTCCCTTTGAAGGACGTATCTTTAAAAAGTATTGCAAACTTATGTAGTAATAACTACTATTTGCATCTATTTGCAATTTCACAGTCTACTGATGCGGTAGAACCATGCTACTTTCATCCAATGTCACACACAGGTATCCAAAACCACTGGGGCCCCAAGACACCAAAGAATCCTCAATGACCCGCGGCCCCAAAGGAAAATCCACAATTCCATCCATTCCCCGAATGCTCGGTAGATCTTTGGTGAGTACTGCTGGATTGAAGATTTTGCTTCCCACTGGTTAATTGCTCGACAAGGAGGGAATTTAGTGCACATATTTGTTGTTTTGGCTGGTTTCCTTGAGCAATTCCAAGCACGCAAAGAAGCAAAATTTCTCAGGATTAGACCCAGCCGGCAGACCAAATCCAAATGATGGTTTTAATCTGAGTGGTTTAAATTCAAGCAACCCAAATAAATTGCCGGAATTTGGGATATTTCACATGGAACTCGAAATTTGACCCACGATTGAGATATCTGTGGGGGGTGCATCAACTAATTAATGAAAACAACATACATATATATATATGTATATTATGTATGTATATATATATATATATATATTCTATATATATATACATGTATCTATGTATATATATATATATATATATGCATGTATATGTATATATATATATATACATATATATATACATATATGTAAATATTTACATATGTATATATATATATACACATGTATATATGTATATATATACATATATATATATATACATATGTAAATATTTATATATGTATATATATATACATATCACATATCCCATCAGTTTGGGGTGTTCACCTTAGCTCCAGTTGCCTGGGTAAGGTCACCGTAGTATTCCGCTTCAAACTCCTCTGATTTCACCGGAAAGGTTTGCGCGACCACGTCTCAAAGCTGCGTGACAGCGAGTTGCGCCACTTGGACAAGGTTTTGATGGTTAGCCTCTGGTAAACTAAGAGTTTGGTAAACCAAGTAACTATCAATGGTGAATATATGGGAATATGATAATCACCATTGATAGTGGGTATTTCACCAATCATATGCAAATATGTGCAAATATGATATAATTGATAACGATTTAATGTGTTGGACATGTATCTGATTTGTGTCAAACCAATGAGATGATGACCCGTTTGTCTTGCAAACAGTTTTTCACGGGACGGCAGTTTTCGTCGATGTCACATTTGGTCAAAATTTGGAGCATGTCTTGCTGTGCTTCAATTGTAGTTCAATGAGTTTGAGGGTTCACTTCTTTGCTGCAAATAAAGATGAATATATTTTCGAAACTGGCATTGTATTTACGACATTAAGACTGCAAGAAGTCCACATCATTTTGCAGAGACTATCCAGGAAGGTGTGGGTACATCTTGAGTCATGTCACATGTCATCATAGGTCATGACATTTCATACACAAACATCCTGAAATTCAAATCCCACAAAACAACTCAATTTGGTGATCATTGTCATTTTTGAAACATAGACATCTGGCAGTTTATTCAAAAAAGAAGGCATGGCCAATATATGATTGGCATGTCTCATCACTCAACTCACCGCGGAATGGCGAAGAATGCAGTCGTTAAAACCCAGTCGTTCTGCAATGGGTCGGGAGGTTTACAAGATGGTTTCAAAGCACCGCACCCCACCTTGATTCACCACTAGTCATGCAGCAAACCTTGCAAGAGCAAGGCATTGTGGGCAAGGCTGCTTGGTGTTTTATCCGAGGATTGC